GGTTTTATGTTACGCTCCGGCCGGAGTGGGCATCACAATATGGTAAGGGGCGTAACATTTCTGTCACACGCTTGAGGTATTCGGCCAATCACAACGCACTGGATAGTCAGACCGATGAGCTTTGTAAAAATCAACGCGTTTCAGAAAGGCGGGGCATAGAGGAGAAACAATAATGTACAGTATGTGGAAAATAATGTGTTAAACCACATAAACACATTACATTACACCAAATACACAAAATAATGTTCTTTTTAGCAGCATCATATGACCCCTTTAAAATCCCTATGGAAAAAATAGTTTGCTTTTTGTAGTCCTGTGTATGTGTAATCTTATCTGTCCTTCTCTTAGTTCTAATTTAATTCCTACTGCTAGTTTTAGTTTTTCTAGTTTTTATTTACATTTTAATCTAATTTAATCTGTGTTGTCATGTCCAGTCTTGTAGTCTGGTGTTGTTTTATGTAGCACCATGGTCCTTGAGGAATGTTGTTTCATTTACATGCTGTATATGGTCAAAATTACAAAAAAAACTATTGTGATTCTGACTCAAGGCTGCTGAAAAAGTGGGTGGGCACTGTTGGACTCTATTGAAGCTCAAGATTCTCATTAGATAATTCTCAAATCATGCTGGAGAGCATGATCACATGATCATCAGGTTTTGTTCACGTCAGCTCCAGAACTGCTGTCATTAAAGCAAAAGGACGATTCAGTTAGACTTTTCACTCTAACTGCTGTGCATTTGTAATTAAAAATGCAATTTAAAAAGTGCAGTTGTATTGAGAAAAAAAAAAAAGCAACATGAACTTTTGCACTGGCTTTCGACTAGCTTCAGTCAGTGCAGGTGCTGTGATCATGAATAATTCAGCAGCATCAGTCACCTGTTCCTCCTCCTGCAGATGATGAAGGGAATTGTGCAAGCTGGCAAAGTGGACTGTCAAGCACACTACCAGACCTGCCAGAGCGCCGGGATCAAGGCTTACCCCAGTGTCCGATTCTACCCCCACCTGGGCACCACACGGGTACGACACTACTGCTGGCCATCTTATTGTTTCAAGTGCTCGATTCTAACCGATACCTTTATGTCCCAACCTGTTTTAGCGAGATCAAGGAGGAGAGCATATTAACAGCAGAAACGCCACCGACATCGCAGACATTCTCAGACAGCGACTCCAGCAGCTAGCATTACAGGGAAAGTCCTCCAAACTTAAAGTAAGTTAGAATAGTTACAATTTTTGATGTTTTTGACAGAGGTCTCTTATGCTTACCAAGGCAGCATTTATTAAAATGACAGTACAAACAGTAATATTGTGAAATATCATTACAATTTAAAATGACTGTTTTCTGTTTTATTATATTTTATAAAATGTAATTTATTTCTGGAAGGGCAAAGGTGAATTTTCAGCATCACTACTGCAGTTTTCAGTGTCACATGATCCTTCAGAAATCATTATAATATGCTGATTTACTGCTCAATTATTATTGGTACTTATTAATAATGGTTATTATTAATATAAATATTGAAAACAGCTTAATATTTTTGTGGAAATCATAATAAAAATCATATTTATCTTCAATAAATGTTTCAGTCCAGTTTTTTTTTTTTTTTTTTTAAATAGGGCTGCTCAAATATGGCAAATTATTTTGGTGTTGACTTTGGAAATATCTTGCATTTATTGAACTTATTATTATTATTTTTTTACTTTAACAGTGGATTTCCTTGAATGTATAAAAAAAAAAACATTTAAAATATAAATGTAAAATATTAATTAATATATTGATTGAGTTTGCTGCCTTTACTGTAAATCCAGCTCAGAGCAGCTTGGTTCACATTAAATGCAACAAACTCAATCTTTACATGTGCTGTGAGTTTAATGTGAAAAAACAAGAGCATCATTGTGAAACAGTTTTCTCAATATTTAGTTTTCATAATTATTGGAAGCCAGAATCCTAATTGGAAATAAAATGAATCAATAGCATCTTTTTTGTTTACATCCCTATAGGATGAACTATAGGACACATCTTGCGATCCACAGAAGCTGTTGTATGTGGAACGGTGAGAGTGATGGGAGAAAACGCACACTCATGAACTCAATTTGATGAGCGTGGGAGATTTGTTTGAGTTTGTTTACTGCCAAATGGACTGTAGAAAGGAGCGGCTTCACCTCAGCTACTTTAGAGGAGGGAATCAGGACTCAACAAACACCTCTAAATGTGTTACTGATGCAGAAGAGGTCACCACAGTGCAATTATTTATGACTCTGTAATTTATGAATGTACGGTCAAGTAGTGTCTTCATTTCCTCACACAGACTGTATTTATGACTGTAATAATAGATGTATTTTCTCACAGATGCTCCATTTGAATTGGATTTCTGTGATTAAATGGTCTGGTTAAATACAAAGGAATTGTATTTTACTCGGTATGGTCAAATGTAATTCGAGTTGGATTTCGGGAAACTTTGTGAAATTGGAAATGTGCTTCTAGAAAACGTTTTAGTTCTGTCAAAACTAAAAACCATCATGGAGTTTGTTGTCAAACCAAATTATTGTAGAAGCATAAAACTACACTGGCTATAGATGAAATCTGTAGTTGAATTTGTTTTCTACTGTTTTTATGTTCTGTTTTATTTCTTCTAACGGTTTGAGTTTCCAGCAGCTATGTTTGTTCTCAGAGATTCGTTGTACAATACACTTTTTGTTTGTCTCGTTTTTTAGCTTTGTTTACTGATATTTCTGTATTCATATTGTGTGAATGTTCTCCAGGTGGCCACTAGGAGGCGGTGATTTAACATCAATGGCTTCAAGTCCTGATAGGCCAGTGAAATGACATGTTGCCATTCATTGTGATGGATATTCACTATAGTTTTGTAGAAACAACAGCTATTAAACATTACACAATTCCTGTTTATGCTGAAGAGTGCTTTCTAAAATTGTTACTGACTTTGTTTGACTTGTCACAATATGGAAATGTTTCTATATGGGGTTTCATGATGCAAGTCCTATAAAGCACACATTAACTACTATATTTCTAATATTTCCTGAAAAACGGGATAAATACTGTCACAATGTTCTAAGGATTATTTTAGTTTGTATGTGAAGTGGGTCGACTTATAAGGTTATCAGTAAGAACGTAATGTTTTATGACCCTTTATCACTTGTAAATGGTTTATTTGCATTTGAAATGTCCGACATAAAGGGGTCAAGTTTCAGCTGGTTAGCATAATTTAGTTGGCCTCTGCTGGTACATGTAGCTAAAGCATAGTACAGCCAAAAAGCATATTTCTCCACTGACAGCCATTCAAAAGTACCTGTGTAATCTTAACATAACTTTTTTTTTTTTTTTCTGGTTAAAAGTTTGGAATAATTAATCATTTTTTTAATGTTGTTGAAAGAAATCTCTTCTGTTCATCATGGCTGCATTTAAAACAGTAATATTGTGAAATATTACAATTTAAAATAACTTTTCATTTATAATGTTACAAAAGATTTATATTTCAAATGAATGCTGTTCTTCTGAATTTTCTATTCATCAAACAATCTTAGAAAAAATTTATAATGATTTCCATAAACATTTTTAGTAATAAAAACATGAATAATTGAGTACTAATAATAATTGAACTGTTTTCTGGAGAATCATGTGACACTGATGACTGGAGTAACAGCTGCTGAAAATTCAGCCTTCCCATCAAAGAAATATATTGCATTTAAAAATATAATTATATAGAAAACAAATTGTAATAATCATTTACAATATTACTGTTTTTATTGTAATTTTAATCAAATAAATGCAGCCTTAGTGAGCATAAACATTTTAAAAACATTACAAAAATGAAATTCAATTTTTTACCAATTTTTATTTTAAATTTTTGATACCTATTTTTCATTATATTATAAATGTTCTGCCTTTGCTTGATTTATTTCTGAAGTTTAGAGGACTTCCTGTATCCCTAACTTCCCTGTATGCTACCTCTGATGCTACAGCTCAAGACAGCTGCTAGTGAAAGCTTTGTGAAGATGGCATCAAGCAGGTCCTGTACTGAGACGAATGGGAACGCTAATGGTTATTTTTGTCCAGGTATTATTTGGGTTTTGATCCTCAGCCTGAAAACTCTTGCACCTCTCAATCTCTACAGGGGCCTGTGCGGCCGAATTGCTGCCTCCAGTCCAAGTTCATCCGAACTTCCTCCATTTTAGCAAGGGAGAAGAGAAAGGAGGGGTTCAAAGGGCTCGGCGGCCCCGTGCGCAGATGTTCGGAGGATGAAATGTCCAGGGACTGTGGCAACACATCAAACCCTTTTCTTCCCTGTGTCTGTCCATCAGGAGCTCCCTTCATAGTGCGCAGTGTGTGTCTTGGCATGGGCGCTGGAACAGGGCTCACGCCTGTGGCCACTGCGCGGACACAAAGACGCGCTGCTTACCTTGGCCTCTCGCATACGTGCGCTGGAAGAAAATCCTTCAGTGGCGTGACCCCAGTGTACCCCCCTGACTGCCAGGTCCCATCCAGCGCTTATGAAATCATGGGTAACGCGCAGGGTGGGGAGAAGGCCATAAAAAAGCAGCACACCCCAAATTAAAGCAAGGTTCAGTAGTCATTTTTCAGGGTCATTTTGACCATTAGAGAACACTGGAAAGGAATCATGGGAAGCATGTGAACGTTCTGCCCAGGTGAGGCAGCGTTCCCAAAGCTGCGGTTGCCCTGGTGATTCCTGGGGAACTGGGCGACCCTGCGGTATCGCTGCGCGTTTATTTTCTTTCATTCGGACGTGGAAAAATCCCACCTGGGGCCACTGGACAGGCTCTCTCGGCTGGCAGCGCTTTTCCCAGTTCTGGCGTCAGCGCGTTGTAGCACCTTGTAACCACAATGTGGTTATTACGAGAGGAACTCTAGAGTTCACGGAAAAAACACACTATATGCTTTTAAAAACCATCGTCATTTTGGACAATCATAAAAATGTGTTTTAAAATGTATACAGTGATATAAGTTTTATACTTTTTTTAAATTAAATATCACACCAAAATAATACAAGTTCTTTTTTTTTTTTATTGACTCGGTTCACATAGTTTTTTTTATTTTGCTGTGGTTTGATGTTCACACACATTGGGGAGTCGGGGGAAAGGGTTTATGAAGCCCATGTGACAAACGTAAGGATTTTTCTCCATCAGGTGCAAAACTCAACTAAAATGACTACAGAGCTCCCTAATGACTTTAAATTCAGATGCACATACTGACTAGGGGGAAAGTCTTGAAGACAGGTTGATGACATTATCTTTATTATCATTATCTCTATATTTTTTTCATCTGTTATGTTCATACACAGGAATCTTTTATTGTAAATATGATTTTAATGTCTGAATTAAAATTAATTGTAATATTTTTAGTGGGGTTTAAAGAAAAAAATCTTGCTTCATAGAGATTTTGATAAAGCAAACCATTTCATAACTTAAACAAAATAATATAATAATAGTCAACTTTGAAAGTAGTTTCACGTGTTATTCCTTAAAAATATTTTGTGAATTATTATTATTAAATGTATTATGTTATTAAAACATTCATACAGAGAATATTTTTTTCAAATATATAATTCAAATTTATTTTAATATTTTAGTAGGATTTAAAGTAAAAAAAATATAAGTGGAGATTTTAATAAAGCAAACATTTCATAACTTTTTTAAATAATAATAATAATAATAGTCTACTTTGAAAGTAGTTTGTTATACCTTAAAATATTTTGGTAAATATTTATTATTATTATTAAATCAGCTCAGTGATATTGTGTAGTATATGCAGGCCTTTTAAAGGAAAAACGGCTATCTCTGTCAGTCTAAATAAAAATGATATTCATAATTTAAAAATTCAATGTTTATAAAAATATCTTTTACATTAAAATGCTCGAAAACAATTAAGTTGTGAAAACTCATAATTCAATATTCAAAGTCTAAGGAAAATAATTTAGTATTTCACTTGACTGTTAAACCACTTGTTAAAATGTTAAAGTAATTAATAATTTGTTGAAAATTGTATAAATATTTTTCAAAACTGTTTAACCTGAATACAAAAATCTTGTGTTTTAAACTAGATTTTTTTTTTTTTTACATTATCGCTGACATTCTTATTTGTCATTTATTATTTTGCCCAAATTTAGCCCTTTTTTAAATAATATTTTACACAAAATAATAATAAAACGTGTTAAAAGCAGAATTTTCAACTTTGAATTAAATAAGAACCCCAAGCCCATTAAGTCCAATCAACTTTTTTTGTAAATCTCCTGTTTGATGTGTAGATGTCTTTGGTGTTAATGATTAAGTAAATAAGATGCCCAACCGGTAATGCATCCATTTGTCCAGACAATGTAAACATGATAATTGGGGTTTTGTAAGCAGGTTTTCTAAAGTACATCTGTCCGGCATGATTGGCTTTACAGAACATTCGAAAGCAAATCCGAAAGCTTGCAGCTGTTTATCATTGCAGAGATCTTATCATAACAGATTCGTCTGCAAGCAAACACAGCCCTCAAAACCTCAAGGCAGGTTGTATTTGAGCAATTAGTGTTGACTTTTCCCTTCAGAGGAATAGGTTTGTTTACAGGTAATGAATCAATTAGTATACAAAGTTAATAGGAAAAATGCAAGACAAAGCATAACAGTTGAATTGTGGGAGTCTTGGAGAATGTGGTGCTCAGAGGGAATCTAGTGTGAAGAGAAACACTGCTGCAGGAACCATGACAAATCCCTTCGAAATGGAAGTTAGACCCCTCACCTGGTCCACTGCTGCATACTGTAATGGTTTAAAGGACCTGTTCACCCAGAAATTACAATATATGTGACCTCAACTGACATCTGCCAGCTGTAGGGGATGGTTATCAGTGAATATTGATCTAAATTCTCACACAAAGTCAGAAGGTTTTAAGGCTCAGAAGGCTTTAAATATATAAAGAATATAATAGTATATATTTAAATAATAATTATATATATA